TTTGAAAAACATGCTTGCATGTGAACTGGGACTATATTTTTTGGCGTTATATTACATGTAGCAAATGGGGTACCAATATTGCTTAATCTGAATGAATTGAATTGCATTGTGGGTTACTACGGATACTACAGGAATTTTACGCTTGAAACCCCCCCCCCCCCCAAAAAAAAAACAACAACAACAAAACAAGGCAATCGGAAAGGCACAAAGAACATTTCCCCCCATGCATTTGCATGCTTTTCCATGCTGCCCATTTTTGTTCTATTATTTCTATGCTAACAATTACTAACAATTCATTTGAAACACGTTAAATAAAAGTGGAATCTAGGTTTCTCAAACTTATACTGTAAGGCGATTTTCGTCTGCATTCCTTTGTTGTATTATCGGTGAATACAATTGTCAGGTGGGCTCCCTGACCAAAAAGCACAGATGTAATAAGAAAAAAAAATGTTGTCCATTTAACTGTTTAAATACCAAAGGGATGCTGCTCGTTTTCCTTCATCCTCACAACGTCAGGGGTCCTGAGTCAACACATTGCCGTTGTTCAACGGCAAAATGTTGACTCAGGACCTTGACGTTGTGAGGATGGTTTTCCTTAACCTTGAAGCGTTAGCGTTCTGAACGTGGCACAGACTACATTTTTATATGCATTTTCTAGTCAACAACCGAACAACAAATTACAAAAGCCCGTGGTATCTTTCATATTTTTTCATATAAACATTTTTTTTTGCAATCCATTTAATATCGATCGTAGATTAAGTTGAAACACGTGTTCGAAGTGATCCTATGAAATGTAAACATATAGGTGTCGAGTTAACGTTGCTTTTCATTCAATGATCGGTCAATTGTTGGTGGTAAGATCCTCTGTGCGCATTAATAACAAAAGGATATAGAAGATAAACAAAGATCATATATATATATTTTTCTATCAGCGCATCGGGCGATTTTGGAAAAATTAAAGCTACTAAGCTCCAATTTTCGCTGTAAATTATCACAAAAGATTAATTAAGTACATGTAGATAGTGATTTTTTAAGATCCCACTCATTTTCTGTTTAAAATCTTGAAAATCTTTCAAGAAACACATTTTTATAGGACATGTTTTTAAAAGAAACAGATTATAGCAATTTCTTTTTTACTGCCAATTTTATTTATAAAAACCGGTTCTACCCTATAACTTTAGAAAGGATCAACCCACACCACGTGACTTGAATTTAAATCAAAATAACATTAGTAGGGGTAATACAGAAGTGGCACTATGTACCGAGGAGGGCTTTAAAAGACCTTCACTTGTCACTCAGAGCCATTGAGCAGTGAAGGATCTTTATCATGCCATTGCCTGTCGTGACACGGGTGCTCATCTGAAAGATCCACAACTTTCATTTCAAAGTCCGAGCGCTTGGCGAAGGAACAGTTGCTACCAATTTTTTTCGACTTAGGTCTGTCGCGGCCGGGATTCAAACCCACGACCTTCCGAGCACGGAGCAAGCGCTCTACCGATTGAGCTACATGTACCTTGATTTGATTTGAACATATTTTATTGTGTACTGAAACATAAATGGATTAGGCAGCAGGCATAGCCTATATAATACCTCTCTCTTGAGCTACCTTGACGGTATATGGTACTTTGAACCATTACTCTAACACTCCTATTTTGGAAAATTATTATGAGATTAAAACATTGATATCTCTCAAACTCTATAGCAATGACTGAACTGCTGGAAATAATATTTTCACATATAAATAATATTTTGTTCTGTTAAGAATTCGAATAATTAAAATTAAACAGCAAATGACAGTTAGTAAACTACTATTTAATTCAGTAAATTTAAAGTTAATTGTACTGTTTTTGTTTTGTTTTATGGCCGAAATTAATGCAATAAAATTATGCAATTTTGGAACTATTTAAAAAAGATATTAGTATCTGTTTTTTTAAATAAATAAATCATCAGTTATTTTCTAGAATATCAAACATATATATGTAAACGTATTAGAAAAAAATTCATGTTCAAATTATAAAGATTTAAAATGAGTGTATTTTGATATGCCATTTGAAAGATTTTTAAAAGCAAAGGACCCCTTAAATATTGTGAAAATCTTTAATTTGGTTAGGTTTGAGTATTGCTGTCATACACGTTTCTTGAATTGTAGAAACGTAGAGCTATTTATCTGATATGCTTTTATGTAATTATATTATTATTAATTCATAGACGATAAAGGCCAGTAAAAAACTAAATTGTATGACAAACGAGATGACTTCAGCTTTTCAATCGTCACTTTCCTTAATTATTTCCTTATTTATGTAGTAATATTCCACTATTACGATCACCTGCTTATGGTGTTTATGTCTCCCACCTTATTCGCTACTCAAGAGCTTACTCTGAGAACGATCAATTTTTAAAGCGAGGCAGGCTATTCACTGATAAGTTGATGTTACACGGATTTCAACAGCCTCGTTTAAAGTCACCATTTTGTAAACTTTATGGTCATTATAATGACCTTCTTAGAAAATATAACCTATCACTGGGTCGTATTTTGGCTGACTTGTTTCATACCAAAATGTTAGCTCTTTGTTTTTGAACTGAATTGACTAAGGATAGTTTCGTCTACCTGATCAATACATAGGGCGCACAGCAGGTGTAACCGGTCAACAGGGGATGCTTACTCCTCCAAGGCACCTGATCCCACATCTGGAATTCTTAGGGGTCCGTGTTTTACGCATACGGACACATATTTGTATTGTTTATGGATTTTTTTTTTTTAGATCGATCACTGTTCGTTATCATTACCTTTTACATTTCTTTTATATCTGCATGTAGAACCTTTAGCCCCATTCTTGCCTCGCCCTACTCCAAAGGGCCATGATTTTTTAAAAAAAGTTTGAATCTACCATGTGTCGGAAAGCTTTCACGTCAACAATTTTTCTCATCTAGTGGTTCTTGAGAATTTTTTTTCTAATGAAACAAACCAATTTTGTCTCTTCTTGATTATCTCCACTGGAAGGGGTCATGGCCTTATTTTAACAAACTTGAATCAACAAACCCAAGAACACTCTGTGCGAGGCTGGAAATAACTAGCCCATCGCGTCTGGAAAAGTATAAATGCAAAAAGAAAGACAGGGCGACAATGAAACTCCAACCAGAAAAGTTCGAACCTTCAGCTTAGTAATCTAAAATAATTAATTCAATCAAATCAATACATAACAAAACGCAAAACATTTAAATTTTTTTTTATCAACAAATGCTACATTCTCTTGTAAATCTACTGTGGTCTAAATCTTTAATGTAAATCTATTATAAAATATTAAATTACTGATTTTTTTATAGAACAATATGAATATTGAGATTAATATAAGGATATTTAGCATTAATAATAGAGATCTTAAAAGTACAATATACCATCAACGTGAACATATGTCCACGATATTACTTATTTTGATGGGTCGAGTGTACATGGAATTTTTTTTATTTTCCCACAATACTAATATGAAAATAATTTATTTTCCGATATCAAATATGGCAACTTTTTTTTCAAGGAGATGGGCGAACATAGCGTGCAGAAAGCCTATAGCTTCAAATATATAAAAATCATGTTTAGTTTGTGAATTTACTATTTAGAGCAAAGTTTTCATTTTTGAAAAGTATGAAATTATGATAAACAAAACTTTTCTGAGGAAAATTTTCTCGGAAAATTTATTCTTTTATTAAAAAAAATAATGTGATATTCATGGGGGTTCGAACCCTAGCAATAAAAATCCTGAGTATCATTTTCTTTCGAGACTAAGCACGCTAACCACTAGACTACGCAAGATCTGATGAATATTGGCATTTAAATCATGTTTGTGATATGACCCTTGACTTAATGGACTTCAAGTATTTCTCGGAAAGATGCGAATGTTGTGTCATAAAAGTGTATTTTAAAGGTATAGTGGGTCTTTGCTCCATATTTTAGGAAACCAAAAAATGTATATTTTTATGCAAACTTCGAGGATTAACTTTCAAAAAAATGGAGCGAAGACCCACTCATATCGAAAAATAGTGTTATAGTATGAGAAAATGACTCTTTTTGCCCTCTTTAGTGTGTGTACAAGACTTCATAAACAAATAATTTCAATCTTTGTGTGATTTTTGCAAATTGTAGAGATTTTACATATAGTATATTTTAATGTTAGATGAATTATAAAGAAAAATTTTGATATAATTGAGATTTAATTTTTCACCTTCATGTTTGTCACACTATGGGCTTTTCGCTCGTCATGTTCACCCATCTTCTTTATACAAACACATAAACCTATGCCCTGCTGGGTGAAACACTATATTGTAAGGATGCTGTCCGTCAGTGCTTAAATCAATTCGCCTGCTCGACTTTCAATCATTTCTGATTTGCTGTTCATTTTTACAAACAAAATTGTTTTCATTCGAATCAAATGCTAATCCTCTAGGTGTGGTATCTAAATCTTCGAAGTCTAAAATCGCGTTGCCTTCTAAATCTTTCACGATAATGTGATTGCCTGTTGCATAGGTAAATTTACCAGCAGAAAGTGATGCACATATAAATTTTCCATTACTAATTTTATGTGATACGATTGACTTCACTTTAAAATTACAGGACCGAATAGTTATTTCTTTCGAGTTTAGAGCAAAAACCATGTTTTTACTAACGGCAAGTCCTTCTATTTCTGAATAAACATGAACTTTCGCCATTTCAGTGAACTTCAATCCCCGGTTTTCTACTTGATACTGAACAATAACCGTTTTGAAAGCAACATACAACTTATCCATTCCTTCAGCGTAGCTAATTCCGCGTGGAGCAGATTCACATTCCACTGTGTGGACAACTTTGCCTGTTTGACAACTTACATCATAGACTTGTAAAGATAGTTTATCTTCTAAGGAAACCAAAATCCTCGCGTCATCAACAAAAATTCGATGAGATACCCAGCACAGAGTACTCAAAACTGAATTTTTCTGAAATTCGGTGTTCATTAATCCTTAGTAGCTAGTCATGACTTGGGGCGAGGCAGAATATCACTTCTTTCAGTTATTAAGTAATAATATTTAGAAACAATAGGAAGAGCATTGCTCGACTTCAGGGATATTTTAGCATCCTCGAACTGTCCTGTTTCCCACATCTCATAACAAATGTCACTGTTTACTTCAGAATACGTCTCAGCCAAGTCCCATGAACGCAAAGATTTTAGTCGATCAAAGTGGGCCGATATCTGAGACAGCAACCTATGTTGAGTAATGAAAAGTTGCTTTTCTGAACCATTCTCAAGGACAGAGGAAAGTAAAGTTTTCGCTTCTTTCACTGTAGTGCCAAACCGCTTCAGCTCATCTGACACAGTATCAATATTGTCAGCTTGAAATGTATGAACAACATCAAAACGTTTCAACCACTGGGCATGTGCTTCTTCTATCAGTGCTTTGGCTTTCTTTACTTTGTCTTCAAATTTTAAACATATTTCCTCCTTTGCTTTGTTCAGCCTTTCCTTTTGCACCATGTTTTCATCCTGCAGTGCATCCAAACTACCTAGGAGATCTGTCAATGACTTCACTTTATTTCTAACACTCTCTTTATCAAGCTCTAATGCAACATCCTCTATTGATTCTACATAAGAACAAGTTCTATGCAGCGTTGCAAAACAAACACTGCAGCATATTTTGTTATGGTCTCTGCAAAACACCTCCACAAGTTTTCCTTTATGGACGCTGCATTGTTCCTCAACATCAACTGGTTCACACCATTTCAGTGAATCAGATAAGCAGTAAATTTTATGGTTTTGGAGCACAGGAACTCTTCTGTGAAGACGATTACAATCTTCACAGATAGGTTCAGCGCACGTTTTACACCAATGTTTTGCCAAAGCTGTAATATTATCTCTTTTACAGAACAGACAATATTTATTAGATTCATTCACTGTGTTTACTGACATAGTCAATATCCATTTGTTAACTGGAAGATCTTTTACCCATTCCTCACTTGACACCCCTTTCCTCGGTTCTACTGCTGGTTTTCGGCAAACTGGACACTCAATGAAATTCAGCGCGTCTTGTTCGCAGCGGGCTGCTGTACTAGATATGTACGTCTGAATGCACGCCTCACAAAACGTATGTAAACAAAGTAAATACCTAGGAATCTTCAACTGCTCCAGACAGATCGGACAACTGAACGATTCCTCGGCAGTCTGCACACTCCCTGACTCTGCCATGTTCCGCGAAAAACCGTTAGTCCGTAGATTTTTCTTATACGCTTTGGACTTCCGGAAATCTTTTAATAATACCAACACTGATAAGTGTCATAAATACAAAGCTCACTGAGATGTTTTCATTTTTACTCGATATTCATCGCTTTCATTACTTGCGCCGAAACGTTTTCATTTAGTCATAATATTTTTTTTAATTTGGTTTTATAATCTTCAGTCACTGTCCAAAACGTCATTTTTGTAGAGATAACTTAGCATCAGTATTTGGTATTATCACCATGATCAACGTCAGTGTTTTCAGTAGTATGTCACTTAAATTGTGTCAGAAATTCTTTAAAAGTCTTAACTAACCTCGGTGAGTGAAGAAGAAGGTGAAGTGCTTGAGAGTTATTCCTCTTTGCTTTATTGATTAATCAAGAAATCTCTGTATATACATGTATATAACTATAAATTTAATTAACCGGTTATTTGATGAAATGAGAATCCAGGAAAAGAAGATATATATACATACTAGTATATATCTATATCTATATATATATATTTACATTTGCAAATGTTTTCCTTTATATAACACTGTTAAAAGCAATGTGTATCTATATCCGTATAAACACGGGTTCCTCGCGTCATAAACGTTCGACGTAATTTCTCAGTGACGTCATAAAGGGTCGACGCGCAATCAATAGATCAAACTTGTGCCGTTGAGTTTGAAAAAATAAAACATTTCACGCGTTAAAGGTTATAATCAGGCTAATAAATAATATGAATAAGTCACAAATGTAAATATAAGTAATAAGGTATCATTTTAAAACATCTATCGGATATAAATACGGGTTGATACGAGATCAAATTTACCATAAAGCCCTTCGTGCTTTATGGAATTTGATCTCGTGACCAACCCGTATTTATATCCCGATAGATGTTTAAAAATGATACCTTATTTCTTAAATATATATATATATATATATATATATATATATATATATATATATATATATATATATATATATATATATATATATATATATATATATATATATATATATATATATATATATATATATATATATATATATATATTGCGCGAAAAACATCTGAAAAGATTGCGAGAGTTGCAAAAGTAATCAAATGATACATATATTTGGACTCTAAATAATGTACATGTAAAATAAATTATTCCATATAAATAAACATATTCATATATACAATGTACACACGCAAAACTGTTCATATAATGGTTTAGGGGCAATAGTGCTCCCTTTTGTTTATACCAAATGGTATATAAGTATTTAATTTTTTTCTTCCATAGATTCTCTCTATATTTACGATAAATGTCATTATTGTACAGTTTTTCGAAAAACTGTACAAGGAGGGACAAGTTGCTTTCCTAATACTAAGTAAACTTTTCTTCAAACACATGGATCTCCTTACCATAGTACGTGGTGTCCGTGTTTCCATTGTCTATTTTTCGTATTTTACATAGAAATTTAATAACTAGTGTATCATAACCCAGACCTACTCTAGATCCTCTCTTGGGAAAGTTCGAATGAATCCAAAACTAGCGCACGGTTTTTTCATGTGTATCCCTTCGGTCCATCAACCAAAGACCTACAGTTCAAAGCATTTGTAAACATGTATATCAGAAAGCAGTTTAGTTAGTTTTGTCTGTTTATAAGATAAATATAAAATATTCGACTAAAATACATCGCATTCTAATAAAAAAGATTCTCACACGAAAGTTTCATAAGTTTCATGAAGTTTAAAAATAATGATGATAATTTGTGTGACGGATATTTGAAAAAGATTCTTCTCACTCAAAATTTTTTTTTTTAATTTCCTTAAATTTCCTCAAAATACTTGCACACTTATTGTATTTTTATTTACATGTATTTATAACGGTTACAAGAACCAGGAAGTTTTTAAAAAATTTCTTACGTCGAAGATATAAAAACTTTAATCATGCCCCACCTTTACTCCAAGGAGTGGAAATATATGCTGGTTTTCCTTGTGCATTTTACTTTCCATACTTCATTATCAAAAGGTAAAGTAACTGTATTGTTTATTATGAAAAATTGTAATGCGTTTTTATATCAAATCTACTGAGTTTAGAGTATAATTGATGATAAGATTACATTGTGCCTAAAATCTTGCACCACGCTTTGTAACAAGTTTGACCTGTTACATATATATTTATTACGGTCAGGAAATAAATGATGTTGAGAAATAAAATACTGGCTACCACACTACATTTTATTTACATGTTATTTTCTTTACTTCGTTATCAGTGGGCTATAAGTATGTTGTTTACATGTCATTAATTTTCAAAACTGAAATTTTTTTGAAAATAATGCTAAAATCATAAAGATGTAGAACTATTTTTCGAATTGATATGTGCGAGGTAAATAAGATTGCACAAACACCCTTAATATTCACGTTTATAATTGCCTTCCTATCTCGGTTGGGCGTTCCTATGTCAATATTTGGTTGCATATGTATGGAAGCCGGTAGGTGCCAGGTAGAAAAATATTTTATCTGGCGGCCGCCACATAAATACCTGGCGGCCGCCAGAAAGTTATCTGGCGGCCGCCAGAAATTATATGGCGGCCGCCAGAAAGTTATCTGGCGGCCGCCAAAGAGATACAGCGGCCGCCAGATCTTTTTATTTATGTGGCGGCCGCCAGATATTTATTTGGCGGCCGCCAGAAACTTATCTGGCGGCCGCCAGATAAAATAATTCCCTATAAGCCAATTTTTTATAACACAGTTTTACTGCATATGCCAAGAATGTGATAATCAGCATAGATCATCATCTTTAATGCAGTTTTTACACATCAGCTGTGAGTGGAAAATACTACCAATTTAAACCGATAGAATTCCTGCTTGGTCTACCAAAAGCGACACTGTATTTAAACATGCCAATCACTAAAAATGAAGTGAGAAAACACTCCAAAGCAAATGCTACTCAAAAACCTAATTTTTAGTATGCTTTGTCGCATTTAGGATGATCTCTGAAAAATGAGGAAGCAAATAAATTCTTAAAAGGTAAAAAATCAACATTAATGTAAAAACTGTTACAGAATCACAAATTCATCGTATAGTATTTTGTTTGCGTCTTTGTTTAAAAGCAATTAAAAGCAATTCATTTATTTCCAAAAAGAGCATTTTTGTTCAGAGGAGAGTGGGTTGTCATGGACGCCTATGTAAGAGATTCGAGTTTTTTTTAACTTGCCGGATGCAAGTGGTCTGACCATATTGCAGTAAAAAAGAAAGCATTTAGAAGTAAGATTGAATTTTTTTTTAAATTTAAAAACCTGAATTACACTTGAATTACACACAAATAAATGAGTGAAAAATTAATTGAATAATTATTTCTAATAATTTAAATTTAACCCTTCATTTCAGCTTTGATGGTTGTAGAATCATTTGTCTACTTGATCTGATTTTTAATATTACATTGCACAACTCTTAGACAGTCATCTTGGCAGACAAATGCATGAGTTGTATACCGGTGTTTTAGAGTAGGATTCCCCCATAGCCAGACCCCCCCCCCCCGGAATTTGTACTCTGGAGTTGGTCTTCCCCCTCAATACAATTTCTGTTTATTTTCCCTTAGTATCTTGATAAAGTTTCTTTTTATTACATATATGTTGTCAACTAATCACATCTTATAATAATTTTCTTAGTTTATAGCATAGGAGACACAATTATAAAGAAAAGTATTCTTGGTTTTTGTGAATTTATTCATTTAAGTTCGCACTACAGAGAAATCTTTGACTTTTTGAAGATTTTTTTCTCCATGCTTCTTGAAATTTGATAAATTCACACTTTTGATTAAAAGAAATACTACTTTCATTAGATTGTTTTTTTCTGAAACACATTGAATACTTTTTATACATGTAAATAAATTATATTTTTGTTTAAAAAAATCATAAAGTACATTCTAAATATTCAAATAAATTATTCAAATAAAATGAAAATAAAAAGTGAAATTACAATTACCAGTTTATATGACTATCAGAATAATTAATGAGTAAGTTTTTCTTTTGTACAGCAGTTCTTTTACTTTTGTTTTTTAAAGCCTCCATAACCCTGACAGTCTCTCCCTCTGGACCTGTGGAGGTGAATCAAACAGTAACATTACAATGTATCTTTGAGAACTTTCCAATAAGTGCAGCTTTTTACTCTACTGCAAGCATTGACCCTTTCTGTGATCTTTCATCAGTACCATCTGGAACAAATTGTAAACCAACTGCTTGTTCTACAAATTACATTGCAACATGTCCGAATGATAGAACATACAGTGTGGTGTATCCTGTTCCTCAGAGATGGAATGGGAAAGGAGTTTACTGCAAGGGAATACTTACAGGAGATGAGAGAAGTAATCAAGTCAACTTCAGTGTTATAGGTATGTCATATCTTAAATGCTTCCAGTTTTCCTAATATATTGTTTTTATCAAACTAGCAATTATCAATGAATATCCATAAAGGACGAGCTTGACGCCATATTACATCCGTTTGAAAAATATAAATATCGAAGTGTAAATACTTGCTGTTAATGTTATATATTACATTTGCCAATATTTTTCCTTATAATTATGACAACACTAACGAAACTGGCATTCAATTTTGTTGACATGAAGTTGGTCACGTGATCAGATTTTTTGCGCATGGAAAACAAACCACATAAGACAAGGTATATCTAGACTGTGGCGTCAAATGAGGTCGTACCTGTACGTTATGTTGCATTTCAATAACAACATCTAAATAGTGCATGTTTTTCTTTGTAACACAAATCAGATTAAAATATAAATTTATGAAACAAAAAATCATTTTAAATTAGATTTTCGTTGGAATATGACTTGAAGTTGGTAAGTTATCAAATGTACTATAACGCCCTTCGGGCGTTAAAGAATTTTATCACGTTACCAACTTCATGTCATGTGTCAATGAAACTCTAAAATGATATCTTATTTCTTAATTAACCACCATATCAGTTCTCAATAAACAGCTTTTTTTTTTAGCTGTATGCATTGACTTTCTGAGTGTATTCGAATTGCTTATTTGCATTCAATATTTGTGAAAAAAAAAATAAAAACTCCTGTATCATTGGGGAAATAAAATCCTACTACAACGCATTGAATATCCTTAAATTTTTACAAGTATATCATAAAAGTTTCTAAATTTTGATAACAACAGTATTTAGCAGTTACTTTCGCACTCCAAATAGATATTTGACTTAAACAGCAGATTTAGAAATTAACAATATTTCAGAAAGAAATATTATCATTAACATTAGCGCATTGTATTTCCATTAAAATGTAAGTGTAAATTAACGCATGCAGCAGGCCTCCTATACCACTGAATATATGGACTTTGCCATTATACTCATTTGGGAGTATTATTTTGTGAACTCATGCAGTGCTTACAATACCTCTAGTTTTAATTACATTTATAGTTTTAGTAAAATCGGTGACCCTGCACCCAACCCAGATTACTATGGATGTTGGTAAACAGATAACTCTAACTTGTCAGACAAATTACTGTAACCCTGCAGCCAACATCACGTGGTACAAGGCATCACCCATTCTGGCCACGCCAACCACAGATACAACAGACATCGACAGCAATGGCCTTGTTAGAACAACATCAGTACTACAGTATACAGGTGTGGCAGGGGACAATGGTCAACAGGTGTACTGTAGAGCCAGCAACAGACCGGGACAACGTGTGGAGTCCAACAAATACATGCTGGATATAAGATGTAAGACTTTATTGCTGTTATTGATATACATCATTAATTGCTAATCCTAACGGTTATAAGCATCAAAAACGATACACATTTGCAAAACTGTTGCTTAAAATACCAAAATTATCAAAGCTTAATACATTTTCATCTTGATTTAATTATATGAAAGAGGAAAACTAACAGCCATCACTTATTTTCACTTAACACGTATTCAGTATAATGTATTTGAAAATAAAATTATTATATAAATGTAATATTCCGGAAATTTATAGTTTGACCATTTGGGTTTAGCTTTAATGTTGCAGATGTAAACTTCCGTGTTAAAAAGGTATAAAACGGCTGAATCCCTGTACAGACAGTCCTTTCCAGTGCAAGCTGTGCTAAGTATAAGACGTGTGTGAAATACAGCGGTACTTGTAAGTGAGACGATAAAGTCAGCTTACAGAAGAGGTTGACCTTAAGAAATAAGTATGGTCTACAAGGAATATAATAAAAAAGCTGTTGTGTTTTGGAGTGGCAAGCCAATCGGAGGCTAACCAGCAACGGAGGTTAGCCACCTGTAATTCGTCTTATTGACCTGTCTGGCGACCAGGCTGTTGTGCGCATTGTGTCTGCTTGAATAAGGCTAGCAGTGTGCACAGCAGTTGAAGGGCTGTCACTTGTACTGATTGTGTCCTGAATAAGGCTGCAGTACAAGCGTCAGTCCAAGGTTGGCCAGTGAAAGGAATAGTCTACCCAGTGCATTTACGCAATCATTTGTAACTAGTTGATTACCTATTTCATATTGTCGTGATTATTAACCTAGATAAGGTTAGGCCATATTATTTGTATATATTTGCAGGCCTTTGTTGTCAATCATTTGCCAATCATTTGTTAAGAAAAATTGCTATATATTGAAATCATCCCCCAAAACCTTGAATCGACAAGGTACTACCCCCTGATAGAAGCTAACATTCCGCTCGACACGTTACATAAATATGTCCATCGGTTATCACGCATAATGCAGTACAATAAAAGTGGAAAACATTGCAGTGGTTTTGATTTCACTATAGGTTCGCGATCATTTGCAAGGAATTTTCATCGAACATTAAGCCACCTTAAATATTGTCGACATATCAATCTAGCATTCAATTTATATCTATACAGTTTAAATTACGTTTTCTTATTTCGTAATGTAATGGTAAAATAGTAACTCATGGAAAACCATAAGATAAGCTTAGTTTTAACAATGGCGGGTTAAAGTTAGTTACTAGTTGCGTTTGTTCCGAATATTTTACCATAACTTTCTAAATTTTTAAAGAACACTTGAAGTTCATACAATTGCAAATATTTAGCAATGAGAAAACCAGTGGCCACTGAATTAAAACCACCATGAAATGTACAAAGATAGGAAATCGTGAAATATTAAATACTTGAAATTAAAGCCGTTTACTGTATCATGAGATTATAATTTTACTAATACAAATATTTCTGTATTTATAACAAATAATAAGTGGGATCCTTTTTCATTCTCACCTTTTCTTTTACAATTTCTTGTAATATATATGACACATATTGTGTCATTTAGACAAAATGTTAAGAGGTTGAAAATTATTTTAGTAAATAAATTTCACGTATGTTTCCTACTGAAATGATATATGAACAAAAACACGTCACTCCCCCTCCTCCTTTTTAAACCCCAGAGCCTAAATTGTTGTAATCCCTCCTCATTTGAATTAAAGAGAAAGCTAAGCCAATGGATGAATTTGCTCTTATCTTTCTATATAGTGTGATATTCTTATGTGACATAATAGACCAATCTTGAGACCTATTCTTAACTCCCCATGGTCAATATACATGTAGACGCAAGAAAATACTATTGCATCGAGATTTATGCATATTTTTTGGTGTAGATGTTGGATTTTTACATGAACAGATTGAGATGAAATTGTAAAGAAGTTTTTAAGAAAAAAAGAGAAAGGATAAATTGAACTTTTTTGTTTTCAAATGTTTGAAGAAATATGCAAAACATGTAAAATAAGAACAAAACAAACTTAATTTTGTCAAGCTTAATCAACAAATTATACATGTTTACTGGCATTTAGTTTTCAGTGCCTTTCTGTGAAAAGACATTCGGTTATCCCTTGAAGTCTTTTGAAACATCAATTTAAAAATTTGTTTGGGCACTTCATAATGTTAGATAGGTATTATTGGATATTATACTCTATGGACGTTTTTAAATGTTAAATTGTTTTTTTATTTCGTAGAAGAGTTTATATTGCAGACATTTTCTGCTTGAAAATAAGAAAATTTATACAAAATATGCTAAAATGGCATCATGATGCCTTATTTCTCAATTATTGTCATTTTAATCAAATTGAAAATCACGAATTCGAATAAACGTTGCGTGTATAGCTGTACAAAATAAATCTAAACATGTATATAAAGAAAGTTGAGATAGTCACTCTAAAGGGCAATATGAGTCACTTATCAAATATCATTCTTTGTCAAAAACATGTAGAGATGTATAAATTGGAAATCTTGAAAAGGAATTAAAAATGGGTTATTTATCACTGATTCCTCTACACTCTTAAAGAAATAAATATTACCTCTTTTTCTGATGTTATAAAAGACTTTAATCTCTCCCCTGTCAAAAGAGCCATTGAATGAAATGTTGGAATTAGATATAATTTTGTTTTTAAGAGGAATTATACTTCGTCCTCTGATTCACTTCTCCCTCGTCTTCACCGTTTAAAAATTCCTGAATCCGCCAGTTCTTATTATTGCTATATTCTTTCTATCATAAGGTTTATTCAAGCATGCGTATTAAAGTTAGCAAGTCAAATTGATGCAAAGAGATATTTCATTTTGAAGAATTTCAACAAAAAGAGTAAAAAAAAAATAGAAAAAGTATATGATACATTTATAGTCATTTGCTTTACTTTTCTGTGCATTTTTTACTCTTTAATTTTTAGTGATTAATTGTTAGATATTTATGCAAAGAAACAAATTCATTAATATATGAAAATCGGACTGCAATAAGGGATAGGAATGTATTATCATCAAATTATTTGATTCAAGGACAAATGCAACAAATACATGTATCTAAAATACATGTAATTGATTAGGAATGTCTGAATGCTGACAAAATGGACACAAGCTTCACGTGCTGATACCTTGGATTTTTGTCACTTTAAAATGCCGATCAGTGTTGTGATAGATACGTATGTGAAGTGCAGAAAAAAATTCATTGTGTAACTTGCAACTACAGTGTAAATTCAAAACAAAATTCAGCTCTTATTCCAATTTATTAATTATTTTAGGCACTGTAATTCATATCTAGAAACTCAATATGTTTTCTTTTTATATCTTACGCACGCCCATTTTAGGGAGCAGTTCATGAAACAACTTTTTGTAAAATCACTAAATTAATAAATATCTGACGAGAAATGAAAAACAAATTGAAACATAATAACAAATATTTAGACTTGGTTTTAAGCAAAATTGCATGATGCAAAGCATCAAATCAGCCACAAACATGTTTAGCATTTTAAAGTATTTCCATATGAAAGAGTCCCGAAAATTAAATTTGAAAGTACAGAAAGTAATTAATATATTTTACTTGCAAAACTGTAAACTTACTTGTTATAATTATAGTCAAAAATAAATTAATTCATGATTATTCAAATAAAGAATAGGATTATATCATCATCGAATTATTTATTGCAAAATGAATGTCTCAATGATTTCTTACAAATAAGACGTGCTAACTTTTTACGTGCTGATTTCCTGGATTTTTGTCATGTGATAATGCCGATGTTTTCGTTGTGATAGACAAGCATCACAATAAATGCGAAGTACCAAAAACAACATTATGTCATTTGCAGTTATAGTGCATTTGCTTATATTTTTTTTTCAACATTTTTTAATCATTTTGCCACTCTAATTGATATCCGGAAACATTACGTTCTGTGTTTATATCTTACACTCTCCCATGTTAGGGAGCAGTTCATGTAACAACTTTCAATAAAAACATAAATTAATAAATATCTGATGAGAAATGAAAAACTAATTAAAACGTAACTTTTACCATCTTGATTTGTTATTAAGCAAATTTTAAACACTTTTATTTATAATTTTTATAAAAGTTATTAGTAAGAAAATATTCTATCTAACAAAGAAAAAATAACGACTCAATTCCTCATGTGCTCATTCTAACACAATCACAAATAGATCAGCTGCTCCTGCGGCCGATAATAACGTCTCATTTCCTCATGTGCACATTCTAACACAACCACAAATAGCTCGGCCGCTCCTGCGGCCGATAATAACGTCTCATTTCCCCATGTGCACATTCTAACACAACCACACATAGATCGATCGGCCGCGCTGCTTCGGCTGATAATTAAGCAGTTGGCCGTCGTATATAATATAAATATAAATATGGAATTCCAAAATATGATATTTTTATATAATTATTAAATTCTATATGATAATTGTCATTCTATGCATGAACTATAATACTAGTACATATGTAGCAGATAAATAACTGACCACTCTTAGATTTTTTTTTCTTTAGTGATGCTATATAAGAGGCGACATAAGCGTTTCTAGGAACACTCTAATTAGGTCTATGGAGGGATTTTCTTTACAATGGCTTGCAATACTTGAAAAGACATTGATCATCTCCTAGTATATATTAATGACCATGAAGTGACTTTATTTTTTATCATAATTATTACTCCTTTGTTCATGTGATTCTCGAAAGAAATCAGATCGATTTAATCAAATTTTCGGTATTAAAGGATCGTTAGTTGATATTTAGATATATAGAAAAAAAAAATTCTAGTAGAGAGTAGATAAATTTAAAGGTTTAATATAAATCACATAAAAAAGTTCATAATGATAATTGTCAGCTGACATAGTTCCATTTCCCCTCTAATAACAACAAAGTGCATGGGTTTCTAAGCTAAGATGTATTATTTAATACCTTATAGGTTAAGTATTAGTAAGAGTATAACATGTATAAACTAAGTAGAATTTTATTATGAATATGTAAACTAGTCGATCTTTAATGATAGATCCTCCATTCACTGACCCTGTCATCACAGCCTCCCCTCCAGGACTTCAGTACAACACTGGAACTAGAGTCACCTTGACCTGTCATCTATCAGGGGGAAACCCTCTAGCAACATTGTTATGGAGATGTAAAAACACAGTAATGTCAGGAACCAATCAGAGTACCTTTACTACAGCTGTCTCTGTGTTGTCATTGGTGATAGATAGTTCCTTCAACAATCAACACTGTGCTTGTACAGCTAATCACAGCCTCTTAACCAGTCCTAAATCAACGAGTGTGTCACTGACTGTATTTTGTAAGTCAAGTTATGTAATTTGTATTTGATTTTTGTAACATAAACAGGTTTTATTGAATTGCATATTTATCAAGTGGTTACCATAGGGAAACGGTAGGGAGTTTATCAGTGAATAAGTCAACTGACCTTTCAGATGTTCTTTTAAGGTTACTGGCCACAGGTTCATGTATGGTCGAAAGTCCCAAAATCGACAGGGTCCCGAATTTCGACGTTTTTTTGTTTTGTTTATATCTCTTCGATCTCACAAAAATAGACTCATCTTTGTGGAAAAAAAATCGTAGTACGGTAGATTTGCAATTACATCACCTACATGTAGGGATGGCAACGAATATTCGAACATTCGAATATTCATTCGATGAGTTGATATTCGAATACGAATTTAAGATTCGAATATTCGGTGTTTTCAGATTTCATAAAAAGAAGTACTGTGATTAATAAATTTTTATTAGAACAGTGCTGGAATTATCCCTGTTTAATTTACTAGCGATCAATTTCGATCGCCTGATTTCTTTCACTACTTTCTTAGCTTATAAATCTACTAAATAACATGTATTTTGTTTTGAGTAAGGTGTTAAAGAATTGTACAATAATGCTTTATGTATAATACAAAACGTACTTTCATAGTTTTTATTAGTTAGATACGATCGGATCTAGAATCGAGGACAACAAATGAAATCTAAGAATGTCTAAAAGGCGTGAAGAGTATACTTATCAAAATAAGATTAATTGATCATTGAATGAATGTCCGATAGAATTAATCTGTAATTAATATTCTAAAGGGCTTAATTTCAGAATAAATGTGTAAATAACTTGATTATCTCGGGTTGTACATAATCATGAATTTTATATTCATTATCGGGAAATTAGTTAATTACCTAGGAAAATTGTCTATGGAAATATTTGTTTACATTTTATCAAAGATTATAATAATATCCCTTATCAGGCAGATAATTGTAATTTATTACACGTATTGAAATCTGAACAGTATACAATTACGACTATCTTGCCTTTTGTAAGACGACTGGTTCCTCAGTTGGAGCTACTATAAATACACGTTTCATTTATTAAAATTATACTTTTCTACATTTAAATAAATTATTTATTTTAAACATTGACAAATATCAAATGGAATTTCTTATTGTACACCTACAAAAGTCTTCATACAATTTTACTTCCAATATAAGCATACCTACGCTAAACCTTTCATGAGAGTAGGATGATTTATATTTAAGATAAATCTGATTTTATTTATTTTATCGAATATTCGAATATATTCGAATACTTTCATTGAATATTCGAATATGAATTATTGACAAAATTGACATCCCTACAGGCTACATACAATCGAAATTTACCTTGTACAGGTAGGTAAGTGACTCATTTCATAAAGGGTCTCTATTCACAAAAATATGAAAATTGTAAAACCTTATTGCACCGTCAATCGTATTTTAATACAGTGTATATATGATAAAGCTGCTGCTTAAAATGTGAGAGATCTGTGGGTCTCACGTTAATTTAGGGTATTTTTTTAATCTTCAAGTTATCAATTATTTTCTTTTAACAAAATGTTAAAAAAAATCGTCCATTACACACACGAAAACTTTTCTTTGATACATACATTCAGCCTTCTTTAGAATGTGTAAATTATGAAAAGAAAGGATAACTAAATTATTTAAGATGTGGCTTCAGATGCCTTTTCACTACCATTGATTGAAAAACTTGGTCGATTAACCATGTAGGAGTTGATTCACTATTCCATGGTATGGCACCTGAATATCTATGGGACTCATTTGAACTCATGTCAGCTTCGATTACCAAAGTATTGCACAATTTTTTTTCTTCAATATTTTGGTGTTCAGTTTATATGAACACAATTAATTCTACATGTACATGTACGTTTTTCACCAACTGCAAAATCCTCTAGTGATATGTGGGAAATGTATTACTATGAAATCAATCGTTCTCGTAGGGGTCAAAATTTCGTGGTTTGTGGAAAAATACTGATTGAATTTGAATTTCGTGGTTGGTATACATACATGATACTGTACTTTGTAACTAACATTTCGTGTAGGACATTAATTCGTGGGTTTCTTCTACCACGAAAACAACAAGAAATAACTTTTAACCTTCGTAACCATCAAATTATCTCTTTTTAAATTTCCGAATAATTTATACTTTTCTAATGTATTCCAATTGTGCCATATTGTAAATTTTTGTACATTTTCATTCGCAATTATATAACTGTTGTATAGAGGGCCCCGATGATTGCACGTATTTTTGCGGTGTACTAATCGGGTTACCCTCTTTAAATTGAGCATTCTCAAGCTCAGCTAAGCGAAAGGCTCAGATGAGCTTTTCTGATTACAGGGTTTCCCTCGGTCTATAGCTATCTAGCCGTTCTCTCTCTCTCAATTTTTATATATTTGACTTTAGCTATACTATTATAAAAAAGTTTTTTTGGCACTATTATCCGGAGGGTCAATGCACAGCGACGACTACTATAACAATGATTAACTTAAGTTTACTATTATAGTTTTTTTTGTAGCTAAAGATACTTATGTGTAGTAAATACTTCGATACTTTGATTAACTACGAAACTTTAGATTTTTTTCTGAGATTAAGGGCCTTAATGTTTTTATAACTGCACACCAGAAATGTAGATTACCAAATAGTACGTGAAATACAAGTAATACTTCTTAATAATATAAAAAAAAAATTTAAAAAAAATGAATATCATTAACTTTTTTTTAACTAGGGTATGACATCACAAACCTAACCAAAATAACGTTGGAAAGCGATGGCTCCGACGGTTTGAATACTACGTAACTGAGCATGAAAAACACTTTGCAAGCCTAAATCACCGTTAACATAATTTGTTGATTGGTAATTCCAAACTTATCTGCAAGAGAAGTTTGTTAAAAAAACAAATTGTTAAAATACAGAGATCTATTTTCTTTGTTTTTTCAAGACAAGAGCATACTCTAAATGATCTTTAATATTTTATGGTAGATCCTCCATCTACTGACCCTGTTATCACAGCCTCCCCTTCAGGACTTCTGTACAACAATGGAACTAGAGTCACCTTGACCTGTCAACTATCAGGAGGAAACCCTGTAGCCACGGAGGAAACCCTGTGTCATGGAGATGTAAAAACACAGTTATAACGGGAACCAATCAGAGTACCTCTACTACAGCTGTCTCTGTGTTGTCATTGGTGATGGATAGTTCCTTCAACAATCAACAATGTTCTTGTACAGCTAATCACAGGCTCCTTACCAGTCCTAAATCAACGAGAGTGTCACTGACTGTATTTTGTAAGTTAATTAGTTTTAAATCTATGTACATGTAATTCTTTTGTATCATGAACAGGCTTTAAGGAATTTGATCATGTGACCAGCCTCCTTTCCAGCTCTAAATCAAGCAGTTTGTGTTGCACTGACTGTATTTTGTCAGTCAAGTAATTGCATTTTGGTAATACATATATATCAACTAACTTTTACATCACCGAGTGTGATTGATAAAGGGGTTACTGTAAAGTGGGAAACTGAAAGGAGTTTATCATTGACTTTTCAGTGGTCAATACATCAACTAGCTTTTAGATGTTCTTTTGTACATTATAACCATGCAGCATATTAGATTGGTTTTAGTAATTAAATTGGGACAAATTTCCTATATTATATCTGGCGAGCAATAGGGTGATATATATGTACAGCGTATTTTGTATGCATGTTTATTTTTTATTTTTATTTTTTTTTTTGGGGGGGGGGGGTCTGATCATTACAGTTACTTTTAAGGATAGTAACAGTTATTGGCCATACATGTAGGTACATGAACATTTGTTTGCTGTTTTATTGTGTATACATCATTTTATGTTTTGTTTTGTAATTATCGTAATTGCATTGGAGACAAATCAATATTCGAAATAAATTCCATCTTAGAGAAATTTGTCAATTTTATATATGATATAATGTATTTCACAGGTTATATAATAATATTTTAGATTAAAAAGGCCCGTTTACAAGCAGTTCAATAATATTCCTATCAATTTAATATGTATGGCTTGAAAAAATGACAATCATAAGTGGTGGTTATTGAGAAGAAAAACCACAATTCTTATTGGTGCTTACAGAGAAGGGGGAGGATTTTAAAAAAAAGGTGTTTGCATGGTTTCTTTTTAATTCTCTGCTACACCCGTTGCATTTTCCTATTGCTTGTAAGCTTGTGCCCCCTTTCAAAAAACAACATCGAATTTGACTGACACTTTTAAAATTACATTTCAGCAATCCCACAATCGCAACCCTCCCTTATCTACACAAAACATATTCAACTTTTTATTGTTTGAAGCTTTTTTGCAGTTTTTCATTGATTAAAAGGCATATAAGTGCAAAAACACATACAATCATTTTAGGACCAAAATTGTGGAGATGGGAAATGCTGTAATCATTGACACCCAGTTTGCTTGACAGTGATTGTCATATTATATATCATTGAATATTCAGGTTTGTTCAAATCATGAACCCTTGGGTAGGGTGGGGCCATAACAGGAAATCAAATTTTAACACAGGAATTCATATATTGAGAAAAATCTTTAAAATCTTTTTCTCAAGGACAGCAAAGCAATGATTAGTCAAACAGTGTATAAAATTAAACAGGAAACATCCTCAAAAAGCTATATTGAAGTTTGTTCAAATCAACACAATAAATATCGATCCACGTATCCAGATTTTAGTTCATTATATAGAGTCAAATTTTCCTAAAATTAAAGGGAAACTTTTAAAAAAAAATCAGCTTTGAAGAACAGCCAACTCGCGTGAGCGTTGTGGTCCGTGGGCATATTGTTCTTAAATATGTATTTTTTTTTTCAGTTTTATAATGTTAGTGGATTAAATCTATCTTGTACTAGTACTAATGGACTTTTGCGAGAAGCGGTGACTTTTACAATCGACGGCTTTCTTTTACACTAAGACAATGTATGCAAGCTCTTTTTGCGAAAAAAAAAAATATTAAGCTTAACTGTTAATTAAACGATAATAATGGCCCATTTCAACGCACATTAAACGTTTTCTAGCAAGGAAACGGCCACCACTCTACCCTCAACTCTCTCTCTTCCCACATTGACCAACTCTAGCTTAGTTTTCCTTCCGGAATATTTTTCATCCTTATTTGATTCTTTCAGAAAATGAGATTGAAAGAAGATACTACCTCTTACGTATAAGGTAACCTAAGTTATGTAATTCTGCATCCCGTGTCTATTGCGTTGATTGAATACCGGTAAATCATGTTTGTGCCCCTAACACCTGTCTATAACCACTTCTAAGGTTTTCTTGTCTATTATCAATTCCGTGCCTCCATAAGTAAGGCAGGTTTAAATGCCAAAGTAAGCCGTCGATTGTAAAAGTCAGTGGTTCTCGCAAAAGTCCAATATTAATACCAGCACTATTAATGTTAGTACTTACTAGTACTTATAGTCAAACTTCTTCGATCAAAAGTCACGTTTTCGGTTACATTTTTGTAGAGTATAAAACTTTCTTCACTGTTAAACATGCATGTGAAGTCTTTACGTCATTGCAGAATGCAATAAACATTTTCCCCATGGTTTTTAAAAGAAATACTAGTATCTTTGTGCTATTTCCTGTCGAATTTCTCCGTCAAAATTAAAACTTACCTACAACTTTTGAATAGGTTAAGAAAGACCACTTTTCGTGAATTTAAAATCCAATAACAGAGATTTTAATGTACTCTCCATACCTCGGTAACTGGCGAAGAAGCCACAATAGCTTCGTTAATTTTCATAAATAAAAAAGCATAAAGTTTCCAGGTTAGTATGTGGCCCAATGCAGAAATCTATGTCTTTAGTATATTAAAACAATTATGTTCATGATAGCTTGTTAATGAGATTTGATATTGAAAATTTTTTAAAATTAATATAATTTGTGAACTAGAGATATTCAACCTACAGACAGAAGATCTCTGATGAGAATTTTTTGTGTTGTGCTTCTTAAAATTCAATGTCGGACTACTGATATGTAATGAGACGATGATGTCCTTTTTAGTTGGTAAATATTGTTTAAGGAATAAATTTAATAGCTACCCAAGTTATACTGGTATAACCTGGGTTGGGGTAGTTTACGCTTTATAAACTGCAAAGCGTTTTATAAAAAAGCGTAAACTGTTCCAACCCAGATTATAGCAGTGTAACTTGAGTAGCTATTAAAATCATTCCTTATAATTTGATTTTCCACCATTACGTGTAGAAAATAAACAATTTCTCCTTTAAAATGCCTTCAAATTGTGCATATTTTAAATGTAACGTCAAGAGGATTGTTACGTTTTTGACGTAAGTCATTGTGACGTTGGCAACACAGATTATCCGACTTAAACTAATTTTTTATCCAATCAAATTACGCCCTATAACCAAAATTTAATTAATTAATGATAATCAAGAAAAATACTAAAATACATATTTCTCATGTCAGTGTCAAAGCAAGTAAACCACATTAAAGTGCATATTTATATAATATACCATGCTCAATGCACGAAAGAAATAATGAGATCAAGAGATCAAGAAATGAATAACAACAGTGATAAGGACTAATTATACTTATTCCTCCAGAATAACTTCAGTATTGTAAATGTCTGGACTTTTGTGCATAACGGGTTCACGATATCAAAGTAAACTGACTGTCCCTCCAATTTCCCATACCATCCAAATAGGAAAACGTGATTTCTATGCAAGGATGTATGTCAATACATAGAAGATTTAGAGTATGTGCTAATAATCATGTATTTCTAAAATGAATACGTAAATAAAATGTTCTTTAATATTTTATGGTAAATCCTCCGTCCTCTGACCCTGTCATCACAGCCTCCCCTCCAGGACTTCAGTACAACACTAGAACTAGAGTAACCTTGACCTGTCAACTATCAGTACGACGGTACGACGGCTTCAAAAGCTCAGCAAGTTTGATGTTGATCATTCCCAAAGACACTTCAAACTTTTCTTGCTCAATTTCTGAAAGAAAAGATTACCATAAAGATGTATGATATCTATCTCATGTATAAATATATGACAAATAATAAACTAAAGCTATATAAGACAATTGGTTCTTTCAACCTGGCAGATCAGTTTAATACTGTAGAATAGGAATTTATTATCTTGTAATTTTTTGTTCAGATTAGGATTGATTTCTTTTTAAACTAATGGAAGTTGTGAAATTAAAAAAAAATAAATAGACATGATTGTGTCTAAGTTAATTAACCTTGAATATGAGAGAGAACATTGTAAATTACATAAACTATGTACCCTTAAAAACATTCAGCAAATAAAGTTAAGGTATGAAAAAAAGTACATTAGTAAATATAATTTATATACCATATAAAACATTCAGTTTTGCCTTGTCAATGGCTCGTCTTTTGTCTCTTAAGCTTCTGATTAAAAGCACCTTGAACAGGAGTTTGGACGCCTATGCTGCCTTTGATATATTATCCTCCATATCAGCTTACTCCGTTAACTGACCCTTGAAAAGAGGAAAAGACGAATTTATAGGCATATGTAATTGCTTTAAATGCACATTGGCATTTAAAACATAACAAAAATATAGACAAAGCAAATAACATATATATAATAAAGTGAATATATAGAATACATTTGTTCTAGGCTTCAAACATGCAAATATATGTTCATATTTTTTTTTTTTGAAAAATTAAGAAAATATTAAATAAACTGTTATAAATACATGTAACTTCCATGCCTCAACAATTCAGTATTGAGTAAGATAATATATTAGTACATGTATACATGTACTTCTTTATTTCTGGAAATTTATATCTGCGACTAAGGTTATAGGTTTGTGTAAGAATATTGTAACGTGTTTGGGTCCGTGAATCTGGGTAGATCCTTAATCAAGACAATTAATTAAACAAATGATTAAAAATGATAAGTGACAAAGGATGTGAAAAATAAACGAGTCAGTATATACATATAATTAATATTAGGATTTCCTATCCTTAACATAAAGCATACAACTATCTTTAAACAATTATTGGTATGGGTCTCACACAGGTCTGTATCCTGTATGTATCAGTACCAGGACAGGTACGGGTCTCAAATCCGGGATAGGTCCTGTACTCAGACAGGTCTGTGTCCTGCATGTATCAGTACCAGGACAGGTACGGATCTTCGAGGTCTCTGTCCTGTACACAGACAGATCTTAATAAAATTCGAGGAAAAGTAATTACAACTTTATTAACCTGAATAATGTAAACCCAGTATACTAGACACCGTATACTGTATTAATTACAAGCCTTATTAACCTCCGCCGTACCTCACTATTATACCTTGAACAACCGTCTACACTGCGCTCCGACTGGCAACTGCCAGCTTTCTGCAGAGCGCTCGTATTTATACCCATGTATACCCGGACTACCCTTGGCCGCTATCGTATCACATTACGATAAAGTCCGGCTGACGTAATGCATAAAGACATCCCAAGCCCGATCTCTGTCACAATATGATGAATGACATTGACAAGGCGTAGGTAAAAACTTGTGAACAGGACAGAGAACTGACATAGGAAACAAGTTAAAAGCAACAACTTCTTAAAATAACTAAAATATATTTAAAAGAGTGGAGTCTAAGGTTCATAATAACTTTTCTCAATGCCTGGCTAACATTGATAAACACATAATTTCAATTCTTTTGATTTTATTGATTAGGAAAATGATTAAAAAATCTTACCTTTGTGTAAATTTCCATACAGCTCTCTCGCTCTTGTCCTTTTTGTGAGCATTCCTGTAAATAATGCATGCATGATTTTATGTCATAGAGTATAGTCATTTTTAATATTTATACTTAAATAAAATGTAAAATGATTATGCATGTAGCATTTAGCATGTTTAGATTACCTGTCAAAAGTTATAATTGTTATGCATTATTAAGGAATTAAGAATATAAACCTCTTGTTACTTGTTCAATAAAAAAAATCTTACGCTATAAAACATTAATTAATAAAAACAATGTTAGTTTATTTGTGCTGAATGATAATTTGAGCAGGCTCTCACCATTCTCACAAGCTAGGTGACTGAATGACTTAGCATCTACATCTACATATTAGGACATTTCATCAAACTTGATGATTATATGCCGGCGCTGTGCAAATCGAGTACTTCAGCTATAAAATAATAAAAGTAAGTGCTGTGAATGATCATGAACATGCATTAAAAAATAGATACAATTATTTACAGTTTACTCTGTAAATGTAAGTAGTACATGTACTAAGGAATGTTATTAGCTAATAATTCGGACCAGAGTTCTGAACTGGCCCCAAAGAGGCTGCCGACACCACTGAGCATGGAAGAGAAATAAATTTCCATAATGGTGGTGGGGGGGGGGGGGACTATATTTAAATTATCTGTGCAAGTACTAAAGGTCTGAAAGTAAGGAAGACTTGAAATGCCTTTGTTGGTGGTAGTCTGTGAAACTAAATAGAGGCTTGGGTCTACCGCAACTAAGTTGTGCACAACTTTATATCATATAGACAGCTTATAGAGCATTATTAGTCTACCACCATCTACACGTTTTTTCTTTGTTGTAAACATGGTAAAGACAGCCAATTTAGATGTTGCATGTTGCAACATATTGGAGACACTAATAGTGTTATGATGTCTGTGTACGATGTAACATGGACTGTCGTGGCGCAATTGGCAACGTGCCACTAGCATATATAGCGAGGTCTAAGGACATGTACGAACGGAGGAAATTCGGGTTGAAATCCACACATTGTTCAAACATATTTTGATAAGAGATGTTTAGAGTTGTACAATAATTATTAAAGAAATGAAACTCGCCCTAATGGTTTCATCGTCGGGCATTCTATGTGTGTGGTGCCCAGACTGAGGAACAGTCAATTATCCATTCAACTTCAAGAACACATAAAATACTGATTACTGTACATTGTACCTACCGGGTCTTAAAATGTCTGCATCTTTTGTCAAAATACAAATTCCATTCCAAGCTAATAATGACAGCAGTTCCCTTCTTCGTGACACTCTCTTTCCTTCTGTCCAACAAAACAACATGGCAGCCGAATTGTTGAATTTTGGCGGGCTGTAGTTTAAATTAATTGTTCATCGAGCCCGACATCGATCTCGACGTAATTGTACTATGAGCCGACAGTTTAAGAAAAAATTCTAAGTTATTTTCCACAGCTTTCCAGAGCAGAAAATGTCTAAGTTTCTCATTTTATCAGCTTTTCCATAGAATTCCACAACTTTCCAAACCTCAAAATGTCTAAGTCCAAATTTGTTATTCAAATTCCAAAAGATTCCAAAAACACTTTTAGACTCTTGTATGGAAATGTTTGGAATTCCATGGAATTCCATGGAATTCCAAAACTTTTCCAAACCCTTTGGAAAATCTACATTAGGGCATTTATCATTATCACCATGCAGACTCTTAACACACTGTTGGTGCTTCTGTACTATTTTAAACCCAATATCAAAACCTCTAACATTGACGATCTTGGTTTTTGAAGAACATTCAATAAGATATGTTATTTTTGTCACATTTGTATTTATCTATTCTTTTTCAAGTCTACTTGATCATTAAAACTATGAAGAGTACTTTTTGTTTCATACAATAAAATTCTCACAGAATTCTTATATTCTATTACACTTTCAAATACATAATTTACAGTAACTAATCATCAAAGTGATTGACAAAGGGAAATGCCTTCTCTCAGTAGAATAGTACAAACTTATAGAGCCCTGGCCAGAACCAGGACACTTGACCAAATGTCCAGATGTTCAAAAATCTGGTAAAATACCTTTGCTTGTTAAAACTTTCCTTGCTCTGATATGCCCAGGAACAGATAGAATTTTCAAAGAAATAATGCATTTTCACTGCAGATTCAACACAGCTCTATCCTAACACCAGAACCTATGACCCAGCGGCATGAGATTTACAGATTTGAAAGAGGTTCTATTTCTTATCTTAGTAACTTTTTCTATAGATTTTATTTCTCACCAACGGTGGCAACACCGTATAATTTTCAGAATTCCGCACTTAAAAGGAGACTACTTGTGTTTTTGGGTTTACTACATACAAAAGCTTTAGAATAAAAAAGCAATTTGAAAAAAAAAATTACAGTTATATACCGGCATGCAATGAACATTTTATTCTCGCAATAAGGCCTTCCATTGTTTTACTTATAGATGAAAAAATAAAATAAATAAATAAAGATGAGCAATGTGTGAATAAAGAAAATGCATTAACAATTTAATGCTCGCACACCCGCATCCTTTATGTTGTTCGTACAGGCTCTTTATGTAATGGAAGGTTACGAGGCATATAGTTATTGTTTTGCCCTGTCCGTCGGTCCATCTGTCTGTCTGTTTGTCCATAAAACATTCACCTTGCCCATAACTTTTGATTGTTTGGAGCATTGGCTTTCATATTTCATAAGTGTTTTTTCTTGTGACAAGACATTTCTCGGTATCAACACATTTAACCCCTTGACCTTGGAGTTTTATCCACTTCTGCAAAATTTTACCAAACTCAAACCTTCACATTAACTTTTGAAATGTTGATTCTAGGGCTTCCATTCTTCCATGCGTATTCCTTGTGTAGGGACCTTCCCTCGAGTTTACATGTTTATGACAGATTAACCTTGACCTTGCAGTTTGACTACTTTTGAAAAACTTAAACCTTGGCCATAGTTTTTGAACAGTTGGTGCTCGGGCTTTCTTATTTCACAATTTTTTTCTTGTGATAAAACCTTTAATTGGGTACCATTATTTTTAATATCTTGACCTTGACTTTAAAGTTTGACTTGCATTTGAGAATCTTTAACCTTTGCCATGAGTTGCCACACGTGGCCCTCAGTTTTTTACAAACTTATCCTTTTTACTGGTAAATAAGTATACTACGTTAAGATTCAAATTCAAAAGGTCGAAATAAAAAAATAAATTTGCAGTTTATAGGTATATAAAATAATTATTCTCAGTCAGTTATAAGTAAAGTGATTTCCAGAAGGTTACAGACTGCTCAAATTCCACATTTAGTATTTTTAGAAAGCGAGCATCCTTTGTAATAAAATTAGATAGAACATGAATATTTAAAAAAAAAAAACTTAATTGGACTAAACTAATGTAAAGTTGAATTAAGATTATTATGCCCCCGTAATCGAAGATTCGGGGGCATATAGTTTTTGCCCTGTCCGTCCGTCTGTCTGTCTGTCTGTCTGTCCGCAAAAACTTTAACCTTGTCCATAACTTTTGATTGGTTGAAGCTATGGCTTTCATATTTTACATGTGGATTTATTGTGACAAGACCTTCCTTTGGATACCAAAAAACTTTGACCTTAACCTTGGAGTTTGACCTTCTTTTGAAAAACTTTAACCTTGGCCATAAATTTTGAACGGTTGGTGCTAGGGCTTTCATACTTCACATATGTAATTCTTGTGACAAGACCTTTCTTTGGATACTAACAACTTTGACCCTTTGACCTTGACCTTGGAGTTTGAATACTTTTACAAAACTTAAACCTTGGCCATAACTTTTGAATAGTTGGTGCTAGGGCTTTCATACTTCACATATGTAATTGTTGTGACAAGACCTTCCTTTTGATACCAACAACTTTGACCCTTTGACCTTGATGTTTGACCTACTTTTGGAAAACTTTAACTTTGCCCATAACTTTTGAATGGTTGGTGATAGGGCTTTCATATTTCAAATGTGTATTTCTTGTGAGAAGGCCTTTCCTTGGGCACTATTAATTTTGACCATTTGAACTTGACCTTGATGTTTGACCTACTTTTGAAAACTTTTATCTTTTCCATATCTTTTCAATGGTTGCTGCTAGGAGTTTTTTTTATATTTTACAGGTATATTCCTCGAGACAAGACCTTACTTTGGGTACCAACATCATATTTGATTTGCATTTGAGAAAGTTTAACCTTTGTTTTGAGTTGCCATACGGGGGCATAAGTGTTTCACAAACACATCTTGTTTTTTTTTTTCAGAAGGATTGAAATATTAAGATAGAAAATTGAAATTATTTCAACAAACATAGAATTTATAGTGTCAAGAGAATTAGAGGAAAATCGTTTAAGTCAGCAAGGTCAAGATTACACAAGAAAGTGCTATGGCTCATAGGTTCTTGCTTTATTTTGAATTAAAAAATTATCTTAACTTCCTTTCAGACATCAATGTTATAACGTCAAATTGGAATCAAAGTTATTCCGTGAAAGAACATGAAAGTTTTCAATGAGTTTGTGAAGTGGATGGAAATCCGTCATCTAATATAACTTGGATGTTTGTTAGAAACAACAGTGTTATAAGAAAAGACTATAATGTGAAGAAAAGCTCACTACAAATATCTTCAACAAACTGCTTGGACTATGGAACTTACAAAGTATTAGCAGACAATGGAATGGGTCCATATGCTAGTATAACTTCAAATTTGTTTGTGAAATGTAAGTTTTTAACTCTGAGATTGAAGTTCAAATTAAATTCTGTACCCGGCAAAATGTTGTATGGAAGGACATTTTTTAAAAACAAAAATATCTTATTTAATTGGCCAAACAAACATACAAATACAACATTCCTATCCAGTGCATTTCAAAAAACTCAAAACATGTCCAACAAGCTCCTTAAATATTATGAGACTGAAAGTAACCTTTCTTAGCTGAAGAAAAAAAAAAACAAAAAGGGGCAAAGCAAGGATGAATGGGTAGAATTAAATGCAAATATTAACATTAAAATGAGATATTATGCAAATTTGATTTTAAAGGTTTTTTTTTTAAATAGGTAGGGTCTAAAATTTGGTTTATAATTTTACTACTAAGTATGATGTGTTAAATGAATAAATACAACGGACAAGTATGGAAATATATCCATGTACGGTGCATACAATAGACAATTATGGATAATGGTGTTGACACAACAGTAAAAAGTAACTCCTGCAAAAATCAAGAAAAATTACAAAAATTAGTTGCAATCAATTGTGTCCTTTGTTGGGTTAGAATTTCCATTACATTCTTTGCACTTATGGAGAATGCAATAAGGTTTTGAATTTCGATTTACACCCTGGGTGAGTTTGGGGGTCAAAAATGACGTTTTTTCTACAAAAACCTGGTTCCCTGACCTCCTCTTACATTTTTCCAGTAACCAATCTATCTTCTGGAATATGATTGCTGTTTCCTGTTGATGTGCAATAAGGTTTCGGAATTTCGATTTTTACCATTAAGGCAAAACAACAAAAATAAAATAGTTTCCTGAAATCTCTTTCATTTATCACAGTAGCCCATTTATATATTTGGAATATAAATGGGAGTGTCTTGCATTTGTGCAATAACGTATCGGAAACTCGATTTTTACGGGGGGGGGGGGGATTTAAGCTCCAAACATGTCATTTTTCTTCAATAACCTGGTTTTCTGAAATCCTTTTTCATTTTCTTTGCTGTAACAATAAGTTGTTAGAATTTCAATTTTCATTCGGGAGGGGAGGTGGAGTCAAAAATGGCATTTTCATGTACACGAGTGGAGATGTAGTCCAAAACATCACATTCTACAAAGATAGTGTTAAAACAGAGGACTTTGGAAATTATATTTTTAGAGTTGAAAATGAAATTGGTGACTTTACCAGGATCTTCCATGTGGATTCAACAAGTAAGTAATTCTTTAAAGAGTTTGTACGCTATTCCAGCATTAAAGAACATGATTAACTTTGATATCATTTAAAAAAAACGTGTGAATTTTGAGATGAAAATGAGCTGATAAGAAGCCTTTTTACAAGAAAAAATAAAGAGTAAATCTATTTCAAGAATTTTCTAAGAACTGAAAAATCACCTGAGCAATAAGGGGTGGAAAATGTTGAACCGTTCGTTATAATGTGTATAATTATAATATTTTCTAGATCATCGTCCCTAAGCCTAGAGTAGGATTACATTTAACATTTGTTTAAGGAGTAAACATTTGACAAGGGATTTGTGCTGTGGCGCTGCACTTTAGGAATATTTCCGTCATTTTTATTTACGAAAGACAAGGACAATTATC